ACGTTTGTTTTTTTTTTAAGTTTTTTTTTTCAACCAAAAGAAATATTTTTTGGGGAGTAAAAAAAAATCCACAAACGCTGGCTTGGCGCAATTTACCGGGTTTTACCATGTTTTGCCGTGTTTTACAGCTAAAAAACTTCTCTAGAAACCACTAGTTCTAGGGGGGGGGGGGGTTTCAGCCAAAAAATGTTGATTACAGTCTATGTGTGCATGGACACATAAGATAACATGCTGGGGAGTTTACTGGCTGTTGAAAAAAATGTCAAAAGCCACAAACAGCAGCTGTAAAAAATGTCCAGTGTGCATGAGGACCAAAAAGCTGGCAGGCTGTCAAGTCCCTTCTGCCAGAGGAAACAAGGAGAGATAAGCTGCTTTGTTAGTGCCTCTGCTATAAACTTTGAGGATACATTTTTCAGATGTCCATGAACACTTGTTTTAAAGCTCATTTTCTGCTTGTTAAGAAGTTTTTTGACTTCTGCTTCTCTCCTTCTGCCCCTACATTTTCAATTGCCCTAGGGAATACATTTCTTTTCACACTGTGACAAACTGAATCTTGTCCGCCAACAGTCTAGCCAAAACAGGCGGTCAAGCAAACACAACACATTAAAACAAGTTCCTGAAGTGCTCGTGTTTTTTGAAGAACATCTCAATTGGATGTTGATTGCATACACTTCTAAAAAACACTTCACACCTACAAGTATGCTGTGCAAGCAGTTCCTTTTCATTAATAAGTAAAAGCTCGTTAAAAAATGGATTGGGTAATCAGAAAAATGGAACAGAGCAGTGTCATGTACGGTCTGTAGGGTTGCAAGTAGCCAACAGTTCAAGAGAAAAGCCAGGCAGTTACAAGAGTAAGGCAAGTATACAAGCAAAATGCTGAGAAATGGAACATTAGAGCAGGTGTGTTTCAAATGCCCCCAATTAGCCAACATCAGATATTATTATTATTATTATAGAGGATTTACATTGTGCCAACAGTTTATGCAGCGCTTTACAACATAAGGGCAGTTATGTTGTTATACTACAACTACAATACAAATTAATATAGGAGGGATCAGAAGGCACTGCTCATTAGAGCTTACAATCTAAGAGTGAAGGTTAAGAGATACAAAAGGTAATAACTGTGGTGCATGGGCTAATGGAAAAAATACAAATATGGTTGTTAGGTGGGGGCAAGATAGGCCTCACTGAAGAGATGACTTCTCAGGGATCCTCTAAAGGTGGACAGAGTAGGAGATAGTCGGACACACTGGGGAAGGGAGTTCCAAAGGATTGGAGCAGCTCTAGACAAGTCCTGGAGACCAGCATGGGAGGAGGTGACAAGGGAGCTAGAGAACAGGAGGTATTGGGAAGAACGAAGAGAACAATTTGGCAGACACTGAACGGTTGGTGAGGTGCATGAGTCTGGCAGCAGCATTCATGATGGACTGAAGGGGGATAGCCTATGCAAAGGTAAGCCAGTGAAGAGGGAGTAGCAGTAGTCAAAGCGGGAGATGACCAGGAGGTGAGTTAGAAGCTTTGTGGTTTCATTGGTTAGGAAAGGTCGTATCTTAAAAATGTTGCGGAGGTTCAGGCGGCAAGCTTTGGACAGTGATTAAATGTTGGAGCAAAAGGATAGTTCAGAGTCCAGGATTACACCTAGAACATTGGATGTGGGGACGTAGGGATGTGGGGATGGGTTGATAGTTGAGCCGTTGATTTTGACACAGAAGTCAGGGGAAGGGAAGGAAATATTATGAGCTCGGTTTTGGATAGATTGATTTTCAGAAAGTGGCATGACATCCAGACTGATATGTCTATTAGTAGATTAGTGATGCGTGAGAAGACCGATGTTGTAAGCTGAGGAGTAGATAGATTTGGGTGTCATCAGCACAGAAATGGTATTGAAAGCCATGGGAGGTAATCAACTAACCCTGGGAGGAGGTGTAGACTGATAGTGACTAATTATTCATCTCTGCTGGCTAGGAGACACCAGCTGGTGGACACTGGAACTGCACTATTACAGTCCAAAAACCACAGTGCCACCAGCAGGTACCCTGGCTATTCTACATGTTCCAGGCCTTCATACGCAGTATCTCTTTGGCTTGGCTTGAAACTTCTGTACCCAAACAGTGACTCTTTTCTCCACATATAATTTACTTTAGGAATGGTACCACTAGGGCTTACTACTTGACGAAATCCTTATTACACTGGATATCAGAACTGGAAGCACACAGGAGGTATAGCAACACAGGAACTAGATGTGACACTAGAATTGTGATAAACTAAACACTAAAAACAAGACTGTGAGGGAGTGGTAAGGATTGCTGTGAATATAAAAGAAAAGGCTACTGTACTGTAGGCTACGATACTGTATGACAAGAAAAAAATGTTAGAAAGAAGAGCAAATAGGTCAGGGAATGGAGATGCATGAAAACACTAAGATAACAATGAGGAAGCAAACCCTGTTTTAAGGCGAACTGGATGCAACACTATTAACAGAATTTACAGAATTTTAATGTGAAGCATGGTCAGGATTCAGACAAGTCAAAAAGGAGCTTTGTCTACTTTGATTAAGATCCTTGGGTCCTTCTGTAACCGATCCTTGCCACTGACTGATAACAATCAAAATATGCCCTTGAAAAGAAGACCAAAAGGGGGCAAACCAAGGGAAAATCCTCATATGCCTCCACCATGTGCTCTTGCTCCATCTTACCATCAGAGAAGCAAATTCTCAGCATTGAAAGGCAGACAGACCCTCAAGTAGTTAACCCTTCTGATCGCTTTCCAAATAAACTGGCACCGCAATTCAATTTTCTGAGGCACTTACTATGACTTTCATCCTTGAGGCAACTGGGCATGCAAAGCATCACTCATGGAGAGGATAAACGATCTGGAGGTGGAATACAATTCCAAATGTCAGGAACAAGCCACATCTGACCTAATCCCACATCTGAACTGTGGAAGATCTAATCCCTGATCTCAAAAAGTGAGAATGTTTACTGCTACATCAGAAGACGAAGAGAACAGGCTTTGGAGGAACAAGTCTTGGGTGTTCCTGAAGGGTCTGAAGGCATAAACGCTGCACAATTCACTAGAGAGTTCTTTACTGTTTGTGGCAAACCCAAGGCCCTTTCTAATCGTTTGAAGTACCTTGACTCTGAACTGCAGGAAGATCATTCCATTTATATTTTTATGATGTTTAGAGAAGCACTTCTCCACCACGATCTTAGGTCACAATTCCTGGAATCCTTCATAAGCTTGTATCTGCTATAAAGATTTGAGAGATGACACTGACTAAAAGAAAACCACACCTTTAGACACTATTATCACCATCTTAATCCACTCTTTGCAGGAAAGAGCAGATTGCTAATATTATATATTTGTACAAAAGTGGATCCAGATGTTTTACTTTATAAGACAAGTTCACTTGCTAGGTACTCCATTGTGTAAATACCCAATACATGTGGAAACAGACCTGTTTCTGTAAACTATAAGACTAAGGATTCACAAAGGAGTTTTATAACTATATGAAAACACAAGGCTACAGTCCACATGCTGTGAGGTCACGAACTTTGCTGTGTTGTTTAGAAATGCTGTGTAAATCTTAGTAATTTTTGAAATTACTGGACAAAATTACAAATCCTTTCTCAGATAAAAACTCACGTAATTGTATTTAAGCTATGTATTTAGCCTGTAGCTCAGTTTAAAACTGTAGAGGTATTCAGAAGATCCAAATTAACTTGAATAACAGTACTTTAGGTCCATAATAACAGTGACCTTCAACAAAAACACAATGTAAGGCCAATACTTAATGTAATCATAACTGGGAACTCTCCAGATCTCACCCTGCTGGGTGCCTTGTTGAGTCTCTGAGCAGTTCTTTCTAGCTCCACCACAGTAATAGTGACAGCAGCATTACTAATCCTGTCAGATAGCAGCCAAAGCATGAAGTAGATGATGGGGAGGAGGTAAGATCCGGGAAGAGGTACAAACTGCACGTGTCCTATGTGCCAACAACAAACCCCAGATGTCGAAGCAAGTGGCCCTTTGCACTGCCCTGAAAATAATGGGCAGTCTGTGTCTGCCTGCAGCACTCCACAAAAGTATGTGTAGAGGGAGAAGCTGGGGAACAGAATAGGTTTTAGTTATTTTTACTGTTATTGTCACCATTATCACTGTTGTAATTTTTACTGTCACTATTGTCCCTGTTATTGTCATTGCCACATATTGTTATGATTGTGATTGGTTGCTCAAATATTATCATGACTGAGCGATTGTTGCCCAGATAGTTTCAGGATTGTCCTTTGTTGCCTGCAATATTATCACAACTGCTTGTTTGCTGCCTACAAATTCTCAGAATTAAAGAAATAAAATCAAGTATAGTGTTAATCAAACTTACTCAACAAAGCAATAATGACCTCAAGAATTGTGTAATCCGGCGCACCTTCTGCAATGTTGGTATTATAACATTGTTCTCTTTATTTTTAATATGTCATTGAGAGCCCCTGCGTGGGCATGTCTTTTGCTCAAGTCCTTCTTTGTTAAAATGTTTAAAAAGTTAATAAAAACCATGAAAATACAAAATAACATAGTTGCTTTTTGGGATGATGCATGCACGTGTGGCACAGTATCGTGCAGTAGTGTAGTGTATGCCCCGTCGTGCAGAGCTGCACCCAGGGACTCCCTAAAAAAAAGGGTGTGTCAGAGTCGGCTTGGGTTGGGGCCTCGGGCAGATGCCGGTGTGTTTCTGGGGGGTGCTTCTTCATGGGAGAGAATGGGTGTGGATGTTTCCACGGTGTAATATGTCACTGACGCTTTAAGAGTTTGCTTCACTGGAACTAAGGGGCCAAGCCCAACAGCTGAAGAGCGACCCCACACCATAACCCTCCTCCACCAAACTTTACACTTGGCACAGTGCAGTCAGGCAAGTACCATTCTCCTGGCAACAGGCAAACGCCCATCGGATTGCCAGACAGAGAAGCGTGATTTATCACTCTAAAGAACACATCTCCAGTGCTCTGGAGTCCAGTGGTGGCGTGCTTTACACACCACTGTATCTGACGCTTTACATTGCACTTGTAATGTAAAGCTTGGATGCAACTGCTCAGCCATTGAATGAAGGCCATTCCATGAAGCTCTCTACGCACTGTTGTTGTGCTAATCTGAAGGCCACACGAAGTTTGGAGGCCTTTAGCTATTGACTCTGAAGACAGTTGGCGACTTCTGCGCACTGTGTGCTTCAACGTGAGCTGACCCCGCTCTGTCATTTTATGTGGCCTACCACTTTGTGGCTGAGTTGCTGTTATTCCCAGTTGCTTCCACTTAACCCCTAACAGTTGACCGTGGAATATTTAGTAGCAAGGAAATTTCACAGATGGACTTATTGCACAGGTAGCAACCTATCACAGTACCACACTTGAATTCAGTGAGCTCCTGAGAGCAACCCATTCTTTCACAAATGTTTGTAGAAGCAGTTTGCATACCTAGGTGCTTGATTTTATACTTCTGTAGTCATGGAGGTAATTGGAACACCTGAATCCAATGATTTGGAGGGTTTCCCAATACTTTTGGCAATATAGTGTATAGCACATATACATTTATATGAAATCAATAGCCTTCAGATGCACCAACATTTCCAAAAATCAGACATGTAACAACATTTTGGCCATGATGCACTACGGTGAGCTGCTGTGTATTGCAGAATATTACAAAGCATGTGCATTGCTTTTTTCACCTTTCATTGGGAATTAAAAATGCATTGGCACACAATGTGTCAATGCTTAAATGTGCACATGCATTCCCACAAATCATAGCTGTAAATGAGGGGAAAGATTGGTCATAAGAAGAATGCTTGGCATTAGGTAAAGCAAAAGAATAATCAGTGTCAAGTGAGGATTTAGTTACAGAACGTTTTTAAAGTATTAAAGTATTAAAAAAGAACTAAAGGAAAAACCTTTTTTTTTTTATTATTTTGAATAGAGTAAGGGTGGGTCATAACTCCTGTCAGGATTTTTTTGCCATGTGTATTCCATAGGAAGATTTCTCTTCACTTCCTATCCCATAGCTAAAACAGGAAATCCTTCCAAAGTGAGGAAGCCCTGGGGTCTCTACAGGGTCACCACAACTAGTGTCCCTATTTATGTTCTGGGAACAACCCAAAGCTTGTAACTTTCAATTACATTCACTTTTGATGATAACGGTAAACAGGACAAATAGAGAGGGCAAAACTCCCTAACGGGCACAGAGAGCTATCAAAACTGAAAGGTGTTCTAATCAGTCTCCGCTCTATCCAAAACTTAAAAAAAAAAAAGAAAAAGTTTTGCTTTTATTTAAACTTTAACCGTAGGTTCACACATAAGCGTTTTGCAGAAATGCAGTACAGTCCATTTAACATAATTTTCTATGGGACATGTTCACATCTGTGCGTTTTCACCCAGTGCGTTTTTTGGAAAGGGTCAGGGACTTTTTTGAATGCAAAAAGTTGCATTTTTGGTTCTATAGACTTCAATGGAAATGCTGCATAAAAGCATGTTTTTGATGCGTTTTTGTTGTGTTTTTTCTGCGTTTTGCATTTTAAATCTACCTAGCAACAAGAAAAATTCAAAAAATTAAATAAAACGCAAAATGCATCAAAAACACATCAAAAACGCAGGTGCAAACACGCAATGCAGGAAAATGGGAAACAGAGTTGAAGCTTGTAGCAAAGGTCAAGACACGAATAGGTTAACTCACAGTCAGATCAGGCAAGAGCAGCAACAAAGGGATAAGAAAAGAAGACAGAAGATGTGCACCACATAGCCATATTGTACTGCAACAGGCAATCTGAAGTACGCCCAAAACCACTCTAAACAGGACTGGAAAGTAAGTAAGAGTCCATCAATAACTCCAGGCGACAGGTGTCAGGTGGTAAGAGTGAGCTCCCCACAGTCAAGACAAGGGCAACAATAAAGAGCCCACAGAAGTTTTAACATTTCCCATCTGCACCCAAAACTAAAAATGTTTTTTGCTGGAGTTGTCCAGTAATCTCAGGATGCTATAACATTTTAATAATTTCTGGTAGGTATCAACTGTTCCTATGAAGAAATGCCTCACTAGCATTTTTTATAAGCTCAAAAATGCTAGAAAAAAACACTGGATGAAAAATGCTGATAACAGTGTTTTTGTCCTGGCTTGTAGTAGCATTTTAGTAGTGTTTAGAAATGTTTAGGTGCTTAGCATTTTATTAGTGTTTTTACAGTAAATGGAGGAAAAAAAAACTCTTGAAAAAAGCTGCTATAGTAGCATTTAGGAGCGTTCAGTATTTGTATCTTTTCCAGGGATCTGTCATGTATGAAATGTGCATACTAACAGTGGTTCAAGCTGGACCAATGTAACTATGTTATAAAAATGATACCTAAACTTAAGATTTAATAGCTAAAAAGATTTTCCTTTACTTGCTCTTAATAGTGTCAACTACACTGTATCATATGAAACATTTTTATTAACATACTGTGTAGCAAATGTTGTTTTTTCCCCAAAAGCATCACCACAAAAATGTTCTAAACCACTCATATATTTTTTTAACCTAAATAAACCCACAGCAAATTAACCTCATATTCATTACTTTTCTGTTGGCTAATAGTATCACACCATACTGTATATACTATACTATGGTTTTCTTTTGCCAAAGTTGAATTGTTTGTATGTAGTAAATGCTAAAAATAGAGGTAGCCTAAAAGTATCAAGTAGTCAGTACTTAACAAGCAGTGCATCTTAAACTAATTAACAGTGCCACTTGCACATCCTAAATGTGCTAAGAAAACTGTCTTGTAGTGCACAATAGAAATAAAAATGAAACACATAGTTGACCTTTATTTGTTGCACACTGCACATTTATTTTGAGAGGGCTGGCAGCTCACACAGTGCATGCCCACTAGTGTTATAATGTCTTGTCAAAATAAATGACTTCACAACACAGTGTGGTTTGCACATTACAGTAGCATGTAAGAAAACACACAGTTTATCGTGAATTACTGACAGCATATGTGTGAATGGGCCCTAACAAACTACAGACTTATACAAGTGGAAGTAATGGTGTAAATTACAGTGCTCAATGTGTTAAAATACTGGTACTTGTAAACATCTGCATGCTAACAGTTTAAAAAAATTAATGCTGCTGACCAAGGGTGGCTCTGTTGCTCCTTCATAGAATGGAGCCACCCTAAGACAGTACCTGTGTTACTGGCCAGATCATCAGGAGAAAACAAAGGGAAACATTTTTAAAAAATGCGGCCACTGCATTTAAAGGATTGATAAGCTGCAATGCATTACATTTTTTTCTTAGATTTTAGATATGCTTTAACCATTTGCCAACCAGCCGCAGTACATATACTGCAGCTGAGCGGCATGTGCAGGCAAAATCATGTATATGTATGTCAAGTTGCCTGCTCCGGTTCATGGGCGCTTTGCACACCCCCTGGAACACCCTGTAAAAATTCGGCGACCGAAACATATCAGCCAAAAATAGCCCTATCTGCATTTTGTTGATAAGAAAAAGTGATCTGATATAGTTGTCGATAATTGCGGCCCAAAGAGTGAACTATTTGGCCGGAGGGGTTGGCGGGCTGTTTATACTGCAATGGGGAGGCAGGGTATGCAGTGTATACAGACAGGCTCCCTCACTTGGGAGTAAACAAAGGGGCTGGTTCACTGGGTTAATGTCACTGGGTGACCCCGCCCCTTTTTTTACTTTAGTGGCAAGGCGAATGACAGCTCCTTCTTGGAGCTATTAAGTAAAAAAAAAAAAAAAAAGCCGGCAATTTCATTTAAAAACTGGCAATGACATTTAGCGGCGGCAGGTGAGGGAGCCTTCTGTACATACTGCTCCCTCAATGTGCACACTGCTCCTCTCCTGCCCCCTCCTTGCACACACTGCCCCACCCCCTCCCCCCCCCCTACAAAGAGGATCTGTCACTTATATGCTATCACATAGGGGACTATAGCAATAAAATCATGGTAAAAAAAAAAAACACACACACACATTAAAAGTAAAAAAAAATACAACAAAAAAAATGTGAACCTCCCCCCACCCCCACATACACAGACATTTTGGTTTCAGCGCCAGAATTTTCATCTCCATCATGTTTGGTGGGCAGTATTACCTACAGAATGGGACCCATTCAAGTGAAAGTGGCTACCGAAACAATGTGCAATGTATTACACTTTACTCATCATAACACCCCTCCCCTTAGCATAGTTCTGAAAATGTGTGTGTGTTTGTGAGGGGGGGGGGGGGGGGGGTTAGCCCTTTACTGCCCAGCTCTTCTTGAAAATGATAGTTAGCTGACCCACTATCTTCAATACTTTCTGAACCTCTTACCTAAAACATGTATGTCAGGAAAGTGCAAAATTTCAGATGCTCCAATCTAGCATCCAATAGCCTATTAAACAATTTAATTTTAAAATATGTATACACTGAATGATTATCGTAATAAGTACAGAAAAATAGCTAAGAAGGCATGTTCATTAACAAAAAAAAATAATGAATGTACTGTATTTGTTTAGCTAGCTACAACTAGTAAGCTGGCCATACATGACACCTGCCAAATCAACTGAAATTTAAACCATGGGTGGCCCTGCTTTCCCTACCTGGCTCAAGTGATTTCTATAATGACAACTTATGTAGGGGGACCTTACGCCAGCCCCCAATGTAATGGGGGATTTCTACACTGACCACCAATGTAAAGGGAAATTTACACTGACTACTACTGTGTAAGGAGGGACCTTACACCAACCACTGCCGCAATGGGAGATTGTCCACCAACCAACAATGTAACATTGTTTCTACACTGACCACCAATGTAAGGTGGGATTTTGAAGTGAACCTCGAATGTGATAGAAGCATTTACGCTGACCACCAATGTAATAGGGGATTCTACACTGACCACCTATGTACGGGGGGATTTTACACAGACCACAAAACAAATGTAAGGGAGGTTTTACACTTACCACAGATGTAAGGGAAGGCTTACACAAACCACCAATATAACCAGGACGTTAACAGTGATCAGTAATGTAAGGCCTGATTTACACTTGTGATCAAGGGGTGACCGAGCTGTGGTTTTACTGCCCCTGACTGCCCCCCCTTAAGCTGCAAAGGCAGATGGGCAGGGTACACCTGTCATATCCGCAATGTGTTGCTTTGCGGCTGCTGCAAAAGTTACACCCCTGTTGCGTTTGGCTGGCACTACTACTGCCAATAACGATCCATTTAAGGTAATGGGGCTGTGCCCCAACGTCCCTGCAACTGCAAGTAATGTAATTGCTGTGCATGGCTTTTGAAGGTTAAAACAGAAGGTGAGGAGGTGACATTTAGCCTCCCAGCTGCCTGTCAACAGCCCTCTGAAAATTGATCTACTGCAGATTGTTTCTCAGAGGGGTGGCAAGGGCTGCTGCATGTGTAAATGAGCCCTAAATGAGGTATTTTCAGTGACCTTCCCTGCTAATCTCTGCATCCTTATCCACCCTCTTTCAGCTCACTTTTGTATTTGAAATATCCTCTGCTCACCCATGCATCTCAGACCCCAACTCCTCCTTGTCTACTTCTATATGCCCCCTC